TTACATAAACGTCTTTGTGGGGACCACGAATTCTACTCCCAGTGTACTGCAGCCAGGGGAGAAGGGTGCTTTTTTTAGTGTAAAGCTGTACGTATGTTCAAATAGAAGAAGTAACCTAGATTAGTTGCAAACCTGGATGTCCATGTGACAAGATGCCTTCTCTGTAATACTAGAGCCTGCTCAATACTCTCTGCTATCATCGTGTCATGCTTAATCGATGGCAAGGTTAATTGTTCATTGTTCATTGAGAACTTAACCCTGAGAAAAGGTATAGCTGTAATAAACCCTACCCATGGGACTCCGCACTGTGCTCCCTTTGTTCCTCCAGTCTCCTGTGGTCAGTCGCATAGTGGTTTCATACCAGCATCTTCCAGAGGCAGATCCTCCTCTGGGAGAGGAGGTCTCTAGCCTTGTAGCAAAAGGTAATCCCCTTCTATTTTCACACACTACTCAAGGGATGCAAGTTTAAGGCTTCTCTGATTGCAAATGAGGGAGCACCTGAGGCCCAATCCATGTTTTTTTGAAAAATTATGTTGTCTTGCAATGTACTGAAGGTTCTCCATTTCTACGGAAGTCAACAGAGGTTGAAAGTGTTCAGGAGCACTGACCTTTGTAACATGCTAGTCCACCTTCTATTGACCACCTGAGAGGCAAGTGCTCAGGAGATGTGTTGTTTCTGAATGTTCTCTGGAATTTTCAAACACGGTTTTGTTTTACCTTGTTGGTAGTACAGCAGCATAAACACACCTCTTTTAAATAAAGCATTTTTCTTAGTGTTGGGCTGAATATACTCTATAACGGAAAATTCTCAGTCATGCAATATGAGATAAATTGAGACCCAAGCTATCAGGTGTTAATTCCTGAGAAACTCCGTTTACTACTTGTAAATGTGTAAATCACCAAATCTGATCTGTCAGAAGCAATGGGGAGCTATGCATGATAAGAGCAGTGGGTCAAGGCATAGAATAACTGCAAGAATAACTGTGCAGCAGCAGCCTTGAGTTCTACAGTTAGCAAAGGATCTCAGTAAAATGCTACCCATTGACAGATTCAGTTGAAGAAAATATATGAGAGAGTTCAGAGCTCAGGGTTGCTAATTCTTGATTGGCAGTAAGCATTTTAAAACAGGGGCAGAATCAAAATAAAGGGTTCCAGCCCAGCTTGAAATTAATGCACTGTGTGTAGAAAGGTTTTCTTGATACCACAGGAGGGTCATTTCTTCTATATGCTACACCTTAGTGAAACTTTTGAATTATGTCAACCCAATTTCTATAATCGGTTGCTAGACCGAATCTTAATGTCAAGCAAACCCAGTGCTGTACACTCAGCAACTCCTTGTCAATAACAAATTAAGCTCACAAAGCACACCTTAACCTTCTTCCCAATTTCCTTCCTCTCAGCATCTTGGAGTCAGTTTTTCATTCATGCTATCTTTTCCCTGTAATCATTATTTCCTTCCCTTCCAGGGAATGAAGCTCTTGAGAAACTCCCTTTTTCTTGATCTCAAGACTGAGTTTCTCACAGGTCATCTTGAATCTGGTGATGCTACTCTAGAGCCTATTATTTTTTATGTAGAGCGCATCTGAACTTCGTTTTTCTGCATAAATTCAGATTTGCTCTGAATGCAAAGGAAACCATTGACGCCACAAAGATATTCAGTGAGGTTTGTAAAAAAAAAAAACAAAAAGTTACTTGGCTGTCATCCACCACAGTGTGAAGGGACCAGTTGTGGCTGTAGCACGAGACATGTAAATCAGCAGAGACTTTTATAGTAGCTCATATTCTATTGGCACTGTAGGCCTTTAGGCCTGCATACTCACTTGTCTGACTTTTTCTCATGCAGTTTCTTGGAAAGGGTACGGACATCAAGGCTTGCACCCTATTTTGGGTGCTGCTTTACCCTACAGTCATCCTGTTCATTTCAAGTTGAACGTCTAGATGTCAAAACCTCTTTGCAACATTCAGGAACTAACTTGTGTTTTCACCTCCTCAATACCCTGTTATTCCAACCACTACATCTACCAACCCAGCACTCTATTCTCTGCCATTTTTATCTACAAACTAAATATAAATCACAGCCACTATCCATATTTTACTATTTGCAATTACTGGCATGTATGTCGTAGCTAGTTCCTTAATTAAATCTGTGATTTACATAGTCATTTGCCTGGTGTTGGAGTTGTCTCAAAGGCTTCCACAATAGTAATAACTAACCACTAATCTGTGAAAATTGCTGAGTTAAAATACACCCAGGTTAATAACTGGAACTAGTCTTTATTTACTGTTGTAAATGTAAATGTTTGTGAAGAGGAAGAAAATTTTATTCACATGTGCCAGGTTGTGTGTTTCTACTACTGAGTTTTCCTGGGAATGTGTCTGCCATTGTCTTGCAAATCTTTGTGGTTGCACCACTTTAAATCTGGGTTGATTCAAATGACTTTACTGATGTTGCTTGGGTGAATGAAGGCGGATTTTTGATTCTGAGTCAAATTCTGCAGTCTTTACTCAAGGAAAACTCCAATTGATCCTGAGGAGTTACAGACTGTGTAAAGACGAAAAAATGCTCAAAGGAAAGAGAAGAGGAAAAGAACCCTTTAACTGGCAGTTAATTGTTATTTGAAATAGCCTTTTACGTTTCTGAACCATTATCAGAAAGATGGCACTTGTAAACAGACAGGCAATGGAAACCCTAGTTTAATAAATGTTGTATTTTGTTTTATTTGCCTTAAAAGGAGGGATATTAGGGTTATCTCTGTTACAGAGCATCTCTCCATTAGTAAATACTCATTATGTTTCATGTAGGTCTCTGTCTAAAAGGTATTTACCTTGGAGAGAGCATTTTTGCTGTAGCTCCCCTCTCTCCTCCCCCTCTTTCTCAAACAAACACAAGTAAGCTTGCTCGCCAGGCGAAGCCTCTCTGCCTGTCCAGGCCTACCTTTGATGTTGCACACTCCTGAGAAAAGTTAAAGGTATACATTGCTGATTTTAGCATCCATTCGCACTTAGTTTGTTATTGTTTTGAAGGGTGGCACTAGGACCTTCGCTACTTCTGCAAACGATGAGCCTATGGCGTTAAGCATGGATGTGAAAGCCTCATGTGTCTTGAATACTCAGTGGATCTAATTAACAGGTAGAATCGCACCCTGGGTGCTTGAAAAATTGCCAGACACCATAGAAACGAGTCCTTAAGTCCCCGCACCATCTGCACTTCCTTTTCATTGTGGAAGTCTGATTGAAACATGTTTTTCGACCATTCTAAATTCATTT